ATATGAAATCTATGAAAATACATGAAATCTATGAAAAATATGAAATCTATGAAAATACATGAAATCTATGAAATCTATGAAAATACATGAAATCTATGAGATCTATGAAATATATGAAATCTCAGAGAAGACCTTAGGAGGCTAAAGCTTTGGAGGTAGGGACATGGGGGTCTGTCCCCAGGAAGGTCCTGCTCACTTTCAATCTCAACTTGGACGACACACTTTCCAAGAGCTAGATGGCACATGGCCACTATGGGAAGAGTGCAGCCTCAGAAAATGTTTTTTCTTTTTTTTTATTTAATTAAGGGTTATCATCTATGAATGGGCTTCCCAGGTGATGCTAGTGGTAAAGAACCCACCTGCCAATGCAGGAGACTTATGAGACAAGAGTTCAATCCCTAGGTTGGGAAGATCCTCTAGATGGCAGCCCACTCCAGTATTCTTGCCTGGAGAATCCCATGGACAGAAGGGCCTGGCAGGCTACAGTCCATTAGGTCGCATCAAGTTGAACACAACTGAAGCAACTCAGCACACACACATGCGTCTATGACTATTTGCCAGCCCTCCCCACAGAAGAAAGCTTTCCAGCCTTGCAAGCTACAATATTCTAGAGCTAGCGCATCTGATGTCCCTGAATATCCGCTGCGCAAAGACATGATGGGATCATAAACTGTTCACCCACGGGTCCTGCACAGGACACTGCACCACGACTGGAAGGGAGGGAGAGGAACAGACTGCGTGAAAGGGAACAGCTCTGACTTCATACAGGGAGACACTGGTGACTTCCCGGTGCAGAAAGGAAGGAAAAAGTTGTCGATCAATTGTCATTTAGTTGATAATGCATGTCCGACTCTTAGTGATCCCATGGACTGGACCCCACCAGGCTCCTCCGTCCAGGGGATTCCTCGGCAAGAATCCTGGAATGGGTTGCCATTTCCTTCTCCAGGGCATCTTCCCAAACCAGGGATAGAACCCGCATCTTCTGCAATGGCAGGGAGTTTCTTTACCACTGAGCTTCCAGGGAAGTCCTACCTCATTTCTAAAGTGCCTGGAGTATATGTACCACAGCTTCCTTATCCATTCATCTGCTGATGGGCATCTGGGTTGCTTCCATGTCCTGGCTATTACAAACAGTGCTGCGATGAACATTGGGGTGCATGTGTCTCTTTCAGATCTGGTTTCCTCGGTGTGTATGCCCAGAAGTGGGATTGCTGGGTCATATGGCAGTTCTATTTCCAGCTTTTTAAGAAATCTCCACACTGTTTTCCATAGTGGCTGTACTAATTTGCATTCCCACCAACAG